AAATATTTAATGTACAGATTTGGCTTAGTTAAAATTTTATTATATGTATAGATTATGTATGCTATCATTTGCATAGTGCTAATTTTAATAGGTAATTTTGCAAATCTTTTAGTAATTGCACAATATTAAAAGAATGAGTTTTTTTATAAAACTTTCAAGTAAAGAAATAAATATCTCTTGTGGCCTTATTTATTTATTAAAATAAGCATTTGTATAAGGCTATATCAATCTATCTGGTTTTGACGGAAAATATAAATAAATTTGAAATCATAAAAATTTGCTTCGAATGCTTTACGATGTGAAACATGGCTTATGTCACTGTAATAAAGTATTTTTAAATTAAATTTGTATCGTTTCATACACCATATATTATACGAGTATTATACGTAACTTACCAATATAATATTTACGTAAATTGTAATGTTTATGATTAAATTATAGCTTTCGCTTTTTTTATGATTTTTTTGCTAACTGTACCTACCTATTAAATTTTTAGTTACATTTCGTCCCTTAGTATATCTCAACCAACCAATAATGATTTTTAATGTACTTATGTAATATGTATGGTATTAGATTAGAACTACTCAATGTATCGACACATTATGTACATAAAATTGCCTGTTATTCTTGATCTAGATATTATCTCTTTGCAAAAAAGCATCGTGAAAGAGCAAACTAATAGACACTTTCACATTCATAATATTAGTTAATACATACTTGTAAGTATGTGCGTGTATTTTTGTTATATATTCCAAATGATTACAGATATAGACTGTGACCTGGAGTAATACATAATTAGTCGTTCATTTCTATCTATATAAATAAAAATGAATGTTGCTAAGCGCAAAACTCGAGAACGGCTCGACCAATTCAGTTATTTGTTTTTAATGTATATATATAACAAAGTCGTGTTAGTTACACCATTTATAACTCAAGAACGGCTGGACCAATTTTTATGATATTAGATTTTTTGGACTTCTCTTAGTTCGGAATAGGATAATAAGTATTACAACATCAGAAAAATTAACTAATAAAGGCTAATAACTACTTATATCTATTTAAAACGTACCTAGAGAGGAACCCGAGCGAAGCGAGGGCAAGCAGCTACTAGCTAGTATATAAATAAAAATGAGCCGCAAAATGTGTTGCTAAGCGCAAAACTCGATAACGACTGGTATAATTCGATTATTTTTTTTATTCAAATATTCGCTAAAGTCTGAGGAAGGTTCTTATGAAGAGAAAAATTGGAAAAAATGTCCGGAAAAATGTAAAAACACATTTTTTCTAATCGGGACTGCTGGCTGCTACGCACTTGATTTGACAGAACGAGTTCTGTTGGGTCGGCTAGTATAAAATAAATATTTCAAAACACCATATCCCCTAAACCAATACCAATTCTAAAAAGGTTTTCTTTAATATGTCTTCTGCATGCGAGACAACAGCTAACAACCATATATAGTTTAATGTGATTGCTAGAATTGATTGAGCATCGATAGACAAAGTAAAGCTCAAGCTAAGATATTTACAACATCTCTTTTAGTCAAATAACACGTAAATGTCTCAGATAATAATTATCCCTATGTGTCACCAAACATATGAATTAGTCCAAGACACGATCGATTTACTTATAAACATCGCAGGATTCAGTAGTAAATGACTCACCTTCCGTATTATTCACCCGTTTAGCATGACCATTTTATAAAAAATTACCTTATGTTTAAAATACTCCCTCTAAACTATTTCTGGAATATTTTCAAAGTTATAAAGTAAAATTATTGTATTATTTTATTTTTTTCCTGTACATATTTCTTAATTAATTATTTGCTTTTCTAAAAAGGAGGTTATCAATGCATGCAAAGCAAAACAAATCTATTTTAATACGTATAAATACATCACAAATTGATGATTGATATTTTAACTTAGAAGTCACCTTGTCATATTTACCTATTTACCTATTAGACAATCAAGCATTGTCGGCGGGCACCGAATTCGAAAATATCTGTTATGGTATCTACAGTAAATGAAGTCCGTTCAGTTATTTTTTACTTGCCTTTTTTTGAAGTCGGTTTAATTATTTTTAAATTACCTTATATATATATATATATATATATATATATATAGAAGACACTTAATTTTAAGTATGTAGATAATTTTGGACAGGTTTACTGCTAATAAAGCCGCAGCATTATACTATGAAATATATAAACTGCAATCTTGGTACTATTGTAACGTCTGCAATACTTGTTACTATGCGAAAAAACTGCCAAAAATTTATCGTCTAACTAGCCTACTTAATAAGGAAACAAAAATCTTACTTATCGCATTGCAATAAAAGTCAATATCGTCTGAAAATCCTTAGCCAGCCTTACATTAGAGATCTTACGGTACACGCAATAAAGTCGAGAACAAATTATATTTATTTACGTACATACAAGGTAACCAACCTTCCGCAAGAACGCTTCGACCTCGCCCATCACGATCAAGGTTCTATTCCTGACTGAAGCATTATAGTAAAGGTTACCTTATATACTTAAACGTAAAGTTGCTTTTGTATTTTTCAAATATTTCATCTAGGGTTGCTATTGATTGATAAATTTTGTATTGTTAGGAGTTTTTTTAATAAAATGATACTTGTTAATCTTGTTATTTGAATTAAGTTTAATGAGCATTTATTTCTTTACTAGCGGCTAACCCTCGCTTTGCTCGGGTTTGCCTCTAAAACAACAAAAACAAATCTATCGCACGGGAACCGTACATTTTTCGAAATAAATATGTCCTCTTCCAGACAATCTATCTCTGTGCCAAATTTCATCCAGATCCGTTCAGCCGTTCTGTCTTGATTGAATAACAAACATCCAAACATCTAAACTTTCACATTTATAATATCAATAAGAATATTGAATTCAAATTCAAAATTCTAGATATTTCAGAAAAACACTTATTGTTTCTCAAGTACTCTACCAGGAATCTAGATAGGATGTGGCAAGTGCTTTATAAGGGTGTATGGAACTCGGTAGGTCGCTTATTCGAATAACACAATAAGATTAACTCCTCTGTTTGTGTTCGAACGTATAAGGTTATTGTGAAAACTAAAAATATTAAAAAAAAACTTTGATACTCATATTTACTTATTTATGTTACAACTTGCGTTTTTTACTTACATATGTATTTTAGGTACCTGTAAATGTAATCTAAAGTAGATTGAGATGAGTGTTAGAATAATGTAACAATAAATAGACTTTGATATAATTATATTTAAAAATATATTTAAATAACATTTTTTATCCTGCCAACTTTCTTTCGCCAAAGACTCTTTCAAGACTGAAGTATTTTTTTAGTGGTCGTATTATTGACTAAATAAAAGTTTTAAAATATTAATATAGATAATAAATTAAACATATACATATATATTACAAGCGACTCACCCTCGCTTCGCTAGGGTTCGTCCCTAGCTTGCTTCCCAATCCAAACTTTCATCCCAGTTTTCACCCCCTTAAGGGATAATTTGCGGGATAAAAAGCATCCTATGTCCTTTAAAGGGTCTCAAAGTATCTTTTTACTAAATTTCATCTAAATCGCTTTAGTAGACCCAGCGATTACCCCCTACAACCTCACAACTCACAAACTTTACCTCTTTATAATATTAGTATAGATATAATAAATATTTAAAGTTTCTACATTTAAATATTCCTCTACATAGGCACGCACCACCACCGACCAATATTAGTATACATTAGCCAATTATCTCAGTGAAGGTCGCTGCAATGAGAAGTGGAGCGTGACTTCGGTCAGGATTAAACAGCAAGAATTTATCATCTCGCCTAATATCTTAGGTTTAGAATACACACATACATACGTCTTAAGTTTTTTCATAACATTTAAAAAAAAGATTTATCTTTAATTGGTTTCTAGAACTTAAAAGCGTTAGTTTTGTAATAATTGTATTAATTGTCTAACAAAATTGCCGTCTTGTGACATTTGATCTTTAAAAATAATTCACTTCTTAACAATCTCATACAATGGTCGTATATTTTGTAACTTAAAACAAGAAAAACTTAAAATTATTTGTAATTACTTGTATATTATTAATTTGCTTATTCTTCGTGCAATGCTATTTTGTACATTTTTGTAATGAAGCAAAGAAATAGTCAGTACCTACGAGTACTTTAATTTGTTCCAAACGCATCGTCCATATTTTATTATCGTGTACCTGAATAAGGCTTGGTGTTGCCAGTGTAGGAAATGTTCACTTTGGATTAGGTTTCATTATAACTCTACACACGTCTACTTATTTAACATCTGAATTAATTATATGTATTATGTAGTAACATTAATGAGACTCTCTGTTGGTTTTTTCTAGTAGTTTCTGAATATTCCACATCAAATGTTGCTTGAGTTATCCGTCTCTATTATCTTTTATTATAACTACATTACTATATTGATTATTAAATTATTTTTACATCTGAAGTAAATTAAATTATCTGAAAAATATATTTGCGCGATTTGTTATCATGTTAAGTTTTTTGCGCTTTGATATTTTGATTTAGGTATTGCAATTTTCATCCATGTCCTTTGTGTTAAAGAAATAGAAGGTTCATACCTAGCTTAGAATATGGAATTTATTAATAAACCTAGCGGTATATCCTCGCTTCGCTCGGGTGTGTACCTAGATATATTTTAATTTATTTGGGCGGAAACCTAATTAGTTTTCTAAAATAAAAGTAGCCTAAGTTACTTTTTATAACATCAGCTATCGGCCAGTGGAAGTCCTGTCAAAATTAGTCTAGCCGTTTCGGAGATTAGTCGGAACAAACAAACAGACAAAAATTTTAAAAATTATGTTTTTCTATAATAAGTATTATATAGATACATACATATACATAATTTCATTTGCGTTTAGTAAAAAGCATTTATTTCGATATTACAGAGACTTCAATTTTATATATCTGACATCTGTATTATAGATGAAAAAATAAAATTTTCTTTTGCTTTGTTAACAGGCGGTAGATTGGTGGTCAGTGGGTGTTCTCACATACGAGCTTCTGACTGGCGCATCACCCTTCACGGTGGAAGGCGAGAAAAACACGCAGCAAGAGATAACCAAACGTATTGTAAGATGCAGCTACCCCGTCCCCAACGATGTCAGTCCTGAAGTGCAGGACTTTATTAAGAAGTGAGTATTGAAGAGAAATAACTAAAAATGTTGACAACATTATATATACACTAAGGACTTACCATCGCTTTGATCGGGTGCCTAACGTAGCCTATGTGTTAATCCAGCTCAAAGTTTATCTGTGTACTTAATTTCATACAAATCATCATCCGATTAAAGTCCCACGACACGCTGAATGTGTGTTTGTTCAAGCTAATCTCAGAAACCACAGAACGGATTTTTATACGCTTCGTGCCAATAGGAAGACGGCTTATCTAAAAAGGTTTAAGCTATCAATTATGAACATTTTGCTAAAATAAGCTCCGGTAGCTTATTTTAGCAAAATGATGATATTTGTGAATTAATCGTGAAAAAATCATTAGTAAAAGCAAAAGGGCCAGAAGCAACAAAATGTACCCATTCTATATTTTATATAGTCTATCTATGATTGCCTAGACTATTTTATTAACATACCAGACTATATAAAAGTAAAAAAAGAATTAAATATACGATTAAATCCTATTTCAGATTATTAGTAAAAGACCCACGTCGTCGTCTCGGCGGCGGTGAAGGCGATGCTGATGAACTTAAGAGGCACCCCTTCTTCCAGGTTAATATACTGTTTTTATTTAACTGAAACACTAAGGGATATATTAAAGTGTAGCTGATATGGGAATACTTAGGTATTATTGATGTTTTTTTTATTTTCTTAGGCTATTTAAATCCTACATTTTTTAGGTATTATTGTTTTTTTTGTTATGTTTTTTTATTCATGGACTACTTATAGTTCAAGGAAAAGTTTTTTATTTCTAGTGTGGTATTAGTGGGATAAATGTTTTGTGATATCATATAATTGCAGAGAGTTGCGGGTTCGAATCTCGCACAGGACGTATATGCCAATCTAATTTCAGCTAGCTATTAACACTTCCAGTTTAAATTACCTAATAAGTAAGAGATTCAATCGCTAAAAATATTTAATAATATTTTTGCTTGTGTACATACACATATTAAATATGTGTATGTATGTATATAAAATTAATATTAATTTTATTATGCATAAAAATACATTTTCACAAAAATTGTTTTATTAATAATTATAAATATAATTTTTAAGAAATAAAGATCTAACATTATCCCACTATAATTCATCCAGAATCTCGACTGGGATGCTGTGTCCCGCAGAGAGATACAGGCGCCCTTCGTGCCGCAACTCTCTCATGCGGCAGACACTTGCAACTTCGCAGACGAATTCACTAGGATGCCCCCCACGGATTCACCCGCTCAAGCCCCGAAGCACCATGATAAACTGTTTCTGGGTGAGTTTCTACCATGTTCTTGATGTTTCTAGACGTTTTTTGATGAGTTGTCGCAATTTTACGGTCACATCACTAATGACTTGATAAATGATGACACTACATTTATGTTTAATTATATATAGGTGTGTGTTTACCAAATTTCAGAAATTTTGAGGTGATGAAAGACGCTGTCCTTAGCTATTGCAACCTATACATTTAGGCACTTAAACTTATTCAGAAAACGCAATTCCACATAAAAAATAAATTTAATTATTAAAGAATTCTTACACAATTCGGTGCCTTGCTAGCATTGAATTAATTTACTATAATATGACGTTTGGAAAAATTATTTAACAGTGTTAAACAGTCGGTTTAATATTGGTAATTGGTATGTATGTGATGTTTATTAATATGTTTATCTTTCCCACAATAGGTTATTCGTACGTCGCTCCTAGCATATTGTTCTCTGAGAACATTATATCAGATCAGATATGGATGCAGGCGACCGGACAAAAACAGGACAAATTAAAGGGATGGGCCGTCAAAGTGAGTGCAATATGCTAAATAGACACTGGATTTTATGCAACATATATATAAGTGTTAAAACCTCAGACTAAGGAATAATGTATACAGAGTGTTATGGAACTAAACATGAAGCCAAACTTTCAACGGAGAAGAATAATGCTTAAAAATACAAATCCTCTGTATGGCAAAATCGAGAATAGTAGCACAAACAGTAAATAAATTTACTATTTTTGACTTTGACATTTATTTTGGCAGAGTCCGTCTACATAATTCTTTAGTCTGAGGTCAAAGCAGTATTTTTTTATAGTGAAAGTATAAATAAATTCGGACAAAAAAAGAACTTGGGCAGTATTTTATTTAAATATCAGTGATCCTTAATTTCTCTTTGTAAATATTATTAGACTTTTGATTATAAGTTTCTTAAACATTTATTATAAACCAGTCTTTTGACTGCTTCGCCTACGAGGGATATATATCATATACCATACTAGAACTCACCCTCGCTCCGCTCGGGTTTCGTCCCTAGATACGTTTTAACGATTAGTATAGATTTCTCAGAAATGAGATATTTTCCCGCAGGAAAAAGTATCCTATATGTTGACCCGGATAACCAGCTATCATCATACCGAATTTCATCAAAATCTGTCCAGTGGTTATCTCGTGATGCGTTCCCAGACAGACAAATAAAAGTTTTAAAAACTATAGATTCGGCCTCTGTATTTACATGATAATAGTGACTATTTCAATAAGATTTTGCAAAAACTATTTAATGTACAGATTGATTCAGTTAGAATTTTATTATAGGTAACTCTCTAATCAAATTTCTATCTTATTAGGTATTTCTAATTATAGTCGGAAGCAAATATAATCTAGGTATACATGAAATAAAACTGTAAAGTATTCAAAATTAATTGTATATATATATATATATATATATATATATATATGTGTGTGTGTGTGTGTTATTTTAGTTGGGTATAAATTTGGGAACTTTTAGACTTAAAGACAAGGAAAATTTTCGACTCAAAAACATTGTTAAGTTTTATTTTAGTCTGATGAGAAGATTCAAATATTGAATTTTGATTTGAAATATGACGTCATATATAGGGACAATATTAATTACTAGCTGTTGCTGACGAGTACTCATCTGCACATAACAACATTGTATCTCAGTACTGAGATGAATTTAAAATAGAAATATATTTTTCATCATTGATATACAAAAACTCAAGGTACACAATTAGCGTCTCAAAAGTGTCCTCGAAACAAGTGCACTATTCGAAATTGAATTGCGCTTTTTTCAACTCTTTTGTTTATTGCTGTTCGGATGACAAAATGAAAACACACATTTTGTTAAAAAAAAGTACTCTATGTAGTGTTCGTAAGTTCGAATTTGTATTTAGTCTTGTATATACTTATTGAATTGTCTAGCATTGCCCGCGGCCCCGCCCGCGTTCACATGACCAAAAACCGAATTCTTAGATTTTACATATTAGTATACTCTTACATTGCAGTTTTTGTATTTTTTCTCAAAAATTAGATATTTTCCCACGATAAAAAGTAATCTATATGTTGTTCCTAATAACCAGCTATCATCGTACCAAATTTCATCAACATCCCTCCTGTGGTTTTTCTGCGATGCAGTGATGATGATGTTCTCCTAGCTGATTCCGGCCACGGCGGCCAATCTCATTGAGACTAGCCAACTGCGCAAGAGATATTATAGTGCTCAAGTGTACGCGCAGACACAAGTGCACTCTCTATTCCTGTCACTCTCATTACTCCGGTGGGACGACACGAGACACGACCAGTGAGAGTTAAGGCGCAGTACCGACGGCTTTACGTGCTCTCCGAGGCACGGGGGTGAAACACCGCCAACTTCCCAACTCCGGGCTGTTACTGAGACTTACTATACAGAAAGACTCAATAACTAAACTTGGCCCGACCCGGGACTCGAACCCAGGACCTCCGAGTGTGCAGCCGTACATGCTAGCCACTACACCACCGAGGCGATGCGGTAACAGACACACAAACAGACAGACAGACAAACATTCTAAAAACTATAGATTCGGCTTCTGTATTGATAATAATATTTATTTCAATAAGATTTTCCAAAAAATATCTAATGTACAGATTCGGCTTAGTTACAATTTTATTATATGTATAGAATATTGTTGTAATACCAAGTTACAATGTTGTTGAATGCGCTGGTGTTGTTGGTGGCTTTGAAATAGTAAGAGAAACTCAAATGGATTTCTTGTTTATTATATTATATTATACATATGCCAATGAATACAGACATTCGGACTACTCAGAGACAGAGACTAATCTCTGACGAAACTATGAATTCTCCATTCCTTTCGGTGATTATATGTATATATATATATATATATATATATATATATATATATATATATATATATATATATATATATATATATGTAATTTAAATATACTGTATAACACAAAAAAATATTAGTTTTTATACATCTACACTAGTGCAGAGAGAGCTTATTGATTTAACTCCTCTATTTAGTCTGTTTGAAAATTTGCTTTTTATTTCCATTTAAAACTTACTAATGCTTATTTTTTCTTTAACAGGACTCACCGTTTTTCCAAAAATATGCAGTGGATCTCAGTACACCGTTGTTAGGGGATGGCTCGTACGCTGTATGCAGGAAGTGCATACATAGGGCCACCGGCAAGGAATTCGCTGTTAAGGTTTGATTTGTTTTATATATGTACTAGCTGACCCGACAGACGTTGTCCTGTCTACACGTCTTTAATTTGAAAATTTCAAACTTTTTTTAATATTTTTTTTGATGAAAATTATTATTCAAATTGTGAATCTAAACCATTCTCAGATCCCCTTGAACACACACAAAAAAATTCATCAAAATGGGTCCAGTCGTTTGAGAGAAGTTCAGTGACATACACACTCACAGAAGAATTATATATATATAAAGATTAGAAATATATCTTTACTTTTGAGGAGAGCCTCTCCCGTGACCATGATTGCTGTAAAGCATTCGATACGTAAAAGTCAGAATAAATTCGCGCAAAAATCCGAAAAGATACTTTTATTTTAAAATGTCAAATATTCGCGTAAATCTAAGAAAGTATTGCACAGTGCAGTGTTTTAAATGTGATTGTGTGTCTATACAACAAAAATGATTATCTTTTGGTAAGCGTATGAGTTGGGAACTAGACTATTTGGCATTTTTTTTAATTTTCTTATAATTCCCTATAAAGTTTTTATGAAGAAAATAAGTTGTCCGATAAATTAATATACATTGAGAAAGAAAATTTGTTTTTTTTTTTTGTATGAACTCAAGTTTGGTGGTGGAAAGAATTTATTTTTGTTGAAGTTAGGACAAAATCAGTCGAATTAAACTTATTTTACATATAACTGAATTAAATTAACCGTTTTGAGATTATGTTTTGTTTTATTTAATACTAAATGCTTATATATTTTTTCTTGCTTTCCACAGATAATACTATCGCAGAAGAAAGACGTCAAGCAAGAGATAGAGTTGCTAAGAGTGTGTCAGGGGTGTCCCTATATCATCGTCTTACACGAAGTGTTTTTTGATTCGGTAAGTTTTCTGATACTTGTTATTTCTTATTTCTAATGGTTTCGATCTTTGTTGCGATTTTTTAATTAAACATTTTTGAAAATGTGTTTTGTTATATGTAGTCAAGTTTTCAAGTAAATTCAGCCTTATGCGGTTTATTTTTTATAAAAAAATGCTGATTGTTTCCTGCCCTTTTGTTCGATTATATAAATTAGCTAGTCAGTCATTTATTTTATTGATTTTGCGTAGAACCTTTTTATTTGTTTTTTTTCTAAATAATTAAATAAGCTTTTTATTATTATTTGTCAATTTGTAGTTTGCAATATTTATTTACATGCAGCAATATTATAATAATCAAAATATATTATAATATTTTTCCGTTATTTTTTCTATTGCAATATTATTGTATTATATATTTTTTGTTAATTAAATTGTATCTTATATCTTCCACAGGCCTTTACATACATAGTGACCGAACTCGCAATAGGCGGCGAATTGTCCACCGCGCTGGGCTCGGGGGGTGCCGGGGGTGGTGGGGGTGCGGGCGAGCGCGTGGCGCGGCGTCTGCTGGTGCAGCTGGCGCTCGCGGTCCGCCACATGCACGCGAGGCGCGTCGTGCATAGAGATCTTAAGTTGGAGGTAAGTTTGTCCGGATATGTATATAATATAGTAGGGGAGCCCAAGAGGGGATTTTTGCAGTTACTCAGGCGCGGCAGATTAACATAAGGAGGATACCTTGCACTCTGTTGAGTATCCCTCCTCCACCATGATATAAGTTCTCTATATAAGGGCGCGCGTCTAGGGCAGCCGATCAAAATATTTCAAAAATATTTTAATAAGGTAGGAAATACTTGAAGCCGTCAGATTAAGGTATGTTGAACTAATTTCACCCTGAAAAGTGTGCAATTCAATTTGTCAATTTGACCAATCTAACGAGGCAAAAATCAACATAAACTTGATAGTCGATTTTTGCCTCAACGGCAAAGTCCCCTTTTATGTTAATCTGCCGCGCTTGGGTAACTGCAATAATCCCCACTTGGGCTGCCCTCCCAACATGTTATGTATATAAATGCATTGCTTTGTATATTCATACAAACTTTCGCCTTTATAATACATATTTATATTACGGGATTGTTCCGTGATATTGTAAGAAAAGGAGTTGATTAACAAAACTCCTGGTAATTAAAATTATTTCACTAGTGAAATTATAACTTCGTGGTTTTTACAATTTATCTGCTACATAACAGGTCTAATAACAAAGGCGGCAAAGTCCAGTTAAAGTCATTACTAACTCATTCAAAATATATTGTATATTTACTGTTACATTTTATTTAATGTAAGTATGAATTTGATGCCTTTTATTTTATAAGCTGTATTTTAATGCTAAAACAAGTCAGTTACCTAAGAAATTTAAATAACACGATGGACTTAATCGAATAATCGACGTTTGAATTATATGGGACTTTGCCGTCTTTGTTATTAGACCTCTAATATATATCACTACCATTGCAGAACATCCTCCTGAGCAGCACTCGGCTACACGAGGCCAAAGTGAAGGTGGTGGACTTCGGGTTCGCGCGGCGCCTGCCCGAGTGCCACGAGCGGGACAGGATGATGACGCCTTGCTTCAGGTGGGTTTGTGCTTTATAATCTTATCAGATAAATAAAATGGAAGTGTCTGTTTGTAATGTCAAAATAACAGCGTTTTACTTAATACATGTGAAATTATATACGGTACTTATAAGAAAAACACTTTTTTTGTCGGTCTGTCTGTTTGTTCCGGATAATCTCTGAAACGGCAGGACTGATTTTGACGGGACTTTCATTGAATTTTTTTGAGCAGAACCCTAATTATTTTACTGAAATAAAAGTAGCCTAAGTTATTCCTTATAATATCAACTAACTGCCAGTGAAAGTTCCGTCAAAATTGATCCAGCCGTTTTGGAGATTAGCTCGAACAGACAGACAAAAATTTTAAAAATTGTGTTTTTCTGATAAATACCGTATATAATTGCATATGCATTTAGTAAAAAGCTGTTATTTTGACGTTACAAACAGACACTTTAATTTTATTTATCTGTATAGAATATAGATTTTCAATTTTAAATATCTGACTATATTTTGTTTTAGATTTCTTAAGCAAAACAATGTAAATATAATACATGTATGTATATATAAGTGTGTCCGTCCGTCCGCAGCCTGCCGTACGCCGCGCCGGAGGTGGTGTCGCGCGCGCGCACCGGCGCCGCGCCCGGCTACGGGCCCGCCTGCGACCTGTGGAGCCTCGGCGTCATATACGTGAGTCCCATATGCTACGCTTTATGATACCATCACTACATAGTATACAACAAAGTCGCTTCACGCTCTCTGTCTGTCCCTATGTACGCTTGCATCTTTAAAACTACGCAACGGATTGCGGATGCAGGTTTTTTTAATAGATAGTGTGATTCAAGAGGAAGGTTTATATGTATAATACATGCATATTATAGTACAAAAAAAACCGTTATAACTTACATAAGTAGTTAATCAATGCAGTGGTTCAATTGACATTTTCAAGTCTTCCATTTCGTTGTATAAAAAGAATATTTTGTATCAACTTTTACAAATAGCAAATAAGCACATTTAATGTATTATTTTTTCTTCTTCTTTGGTATACTATTTCTGAAGCATGTTGTGTATACCTTTATATAGATTTACAATTTACCAGTGTTATGATATTAATTATAGTGCTAGTATTAAATAATTGTAAAACTGCTGGTAAACCTTAAATAAATAATAAAAAAAATATATAGGTATGATGAGTTTTTCCCTTAGTTGAGAAATTATTGATTTCCCATACAAACACTTATCCCCCTTTTCATTCCCTTAATGGATGATTTTCGGCATAAAAACTATCCTATGTCCTTCCCAGGGCATAAGTTTGACGTGTCTGTGTGTGTGTTAGTGTGTGGCATCGTAGCTCCCGAACGGATGAACGGATTTTAATATTTTTTGTTTACAAGGTGAATTAGTCGGGAGTGTTTTTGGGCTATGTTTGATGAAAATCGGTCCAAGATGGCCGCCACCACAAAATGGCGAATTACATTTTTAATTTAATTTTTAGATTACAATTATTATTATACGCTTATTTGTTACCATTCACTTTAATGTTGTTTTATGAACGAGTATATAGACAGATTATATAAATTATAATTTGTGTCATTAAAATTTACGGTTTCATTAAAACGAATGGATTATCCGAGGTTTCTTTTATATTAATGACTTTAAAATTACTTTGATGTAACGCAAATATTTAATTTTAGTAAATTGGAATATTTATTATAATAGTATACTTTTTTTCCAGTACTGCTTATTGAGTGGGAAAGCCCCTTTCCAACCTACGTCCAAGAAAGAGCCGGTCACTGCCTACATGGATAGAATTAGAAGTGGCAGTTTTACTATGGAAGGTAAATGCTTTTTTTTTATAATGTACAATAATATATTCTCGGGTGTCGCACCTTTAATATTTTCATGTGTGAATCGTTTCCACAACATGATTACCATTTATCTTACGGTGAAGGAAAACATCGTGAGAAAACCAGCATGTCTGAGAGAACTTGGACAGCGCGATGGACATTAAATTATATTAGGTATTAATTATTATAACTAATATACATCATAATAATTCCAGGTCCAATATGGGATAGCATATCTGAGGAAAGTAAAAAAATTGTGACCAATCTTCTAACAGTCGAGCCTTCGAACAGATGGACGGTCACTGAACTGCTACAATCTCTGGGCGTGAGCTGTCAGGATGGAAATAACTTTAAATTACAGGTTTGTTTTTGTTTAGCTATTTGTAATATTTTGTTAGTCGGTTAGGACTTGTTATTTGTAAGATAACTACAAATTATAGGTCTTTACTTCTTACTTGCTTATTTTAATATGATTATATGAAGATATTTTTTCCCCAATCAGACTTTATTTCAAATGTTATCATTTTCAGGACATGACCAAAGCAGATCTTTACAAGCGTCGTAGCAAAAACAAGCAGAGAAAATCTAGCACGTCAGAGCCCGGCACATCCACACAAAGCGACACGCCGATGGACACAGAAGATAATAAAGAAGCATACCTGTACGAAACTATAAACAACCTCAAGAATAGAATGAACAAGAATTCCATAGAGAATGATGTGGAACTAATCAAAGCTAACACCCAAGATACTCCTGTCAACGAAAGTGATGAACCTATCTATGAAAACGATGACGTACCACCAGTCAAGCCCGTAGAGAAAACCTATGCTAAATCTAGGTCTAAACTTGACGAATACATTTATATAGAAAGTAGTCAAGGCCTAGAGGGCACAGAAGTAGCGTTCCCTAAAACCAACAGGAAAAAGAAAGAGTCCCAATCACCCGTACCGAGGAAACGCAGAAAAATTGACACCAGGTCCAAGAAAGTTAGTGAGACCAAAACACCTGAAAAACGTGGTAGGGGTAGACCCAAGAAACAACCGGACACAGATGATACTAAAACTAGAACAACCAAAGAGTCTATCGAAAATGATAAAACTATTGTCACAAGAGCGACGAGAAAACGGCGACACGAGGAAATCGAAAAACCGGTGTTAAGGGAGAAGGGACAAAATGGCCGACAGTTGCGAAAGAATAGCGAAAAAGTTGAAACACGCAAAATTGCCAGACCGAAGCGCAAGGCCGATAGTAAGTTAGCTACGAATTTAGAAATAGAAACACAAAATGTTAGAATGACACGTTCTAGAAGGAGGAGGCTGGAAATTAGTTTGTCACCGTCCGAAGTGAAAAGCGTTATTCCGGCGTTCTCCTTCGAATCTGAACGACGTGTCAACTCGATTGAAAGCAACCGATCGAAAACTTCTAATACCAAAGGTAAGAAAAATATAAAAAAAACACAGAGTAAAGCAAAGAAACCACCTGTTCGCAAAACTAGGGCTCGCGCTAACCGCAGGTGAAATCTTGTCTAACGCCATTTTGTACGCCTAGTGTTACGTTGTACTTCCGGTGTCTTCAACGAATTAATATTTAAAAAAAAACATCGCATTGGAAAAATACAAAAATAAATAATAATATATTTATGTCTTTTTTGCAATTTAATTTTGTTGTTTTTTTTTTCGTTTTTTGTTTGGTTGGCAACGATACCGGAAGTATTCGAAATTTGAATCACTATGTATCTAGTTTAAACATTTCAATATGGCGTTCAATATAACCTCCGGAAATTCCAAATAAACATGATAGTGATGCGAAATAATGGACGCTTGCTCACGCGTAGTATAGTAATTAAAAAAAGAAATTATTTATTCGACAGAGTAAGTTATATACTAGTTGTCTCCACACTAGTTCGAAATGAATTAACGTTTTTTTTTTATTTTAATTCTTTTATTTAATATTTCTATAGAGATAATATAGTGGGCTATCGGTATGGGATATCGAAAGGGTATTAAGCTTCTAAAATTTAAAATCTTTTCTTTCCATATGAAAGATTAATTATTATTATTAGAACGACTTTTATTCTATAAAAACAAACCCATCTTTATCGACTGAAAGGCAAATATTATAAAACGATAAAAAGATCTCTTAGAGATTTAGAAAATGACTGCCAAAGGCTACACAAGTCGACTAATAAGTAAAAATTTCGTACACAACGATTAAACTTTTACAATGCATACTTATAAAAAACGTAGCTTGAAGCCATTTCATTTTCCGTCTCTTTCTAACAGCATTTGCCTCTCTGTCTATATTATCTCTATGTATGTTACTATTAATTTTAAGTCACTTTTTTCCCCTATTTTTACCATTAGAGTTAATTCTTTGATGTTGGTTATTATGTATTTTGAATAGATTAATAATAATTAATAGGTAATTTGGATGTGTGGTTGAGCACTTCCCGTAGCTAAAATGTTTTTTTTTCATAAATTAAAAAAAATCTTTGTATCAAAATTTCTCCGCTTGACACGCTTTCTTATCTGACATTTTGATTTTTGTAAATTCAATTTCATTTTACGACCTCGTATAATGATTTGTTACTTTATGATGATTTTTTGATCAAATTCCAATAATCAATGAGTGAGTGTCACCACTCATTAAAAAAGGATTCAATAGATCTCTGTCATATGAAAAAATAAATATTTTTGTGTGTGTATATTTGTTTGAACTTAGTGTAATAGGTTAAATTTGTAAATTTTCATTAATTAATGATGTCGTTCACATCGATTAACTTCCATTTAATTATCCAAATTATATAATTTTATGTATGGTGAAAGTGCCAAAGCATGCTTGAAGATATCTTTAGTAAAATTATTGTAAAAATAAAAAACGCCTCTTAGAAAAACTATTCTTTCTTAACTCTTTAAACAAAGTTTTCTCCGTTATTTTAAGCGCTTTTACCAAATAAAGATTGTTTGATGGTTTCAATGTAAATAAATTAGTGTTTAGTACAAAAAATACGGTGGGAGAATTAATTAATATTATTTATGGAAAAATCTCAAAAAAAAAAGCGGTCGATAGCTGAAATCATATCATTGGTGTTTAAATGAAATCATTTGCTAATTTTTCAATGTAATTTCGTGTCTTTGACTTGTATGGGTTAAACGTGTGTTCATGAAGAATATATTGTATATTTAAAATTTTATAATGGCAACACAGCTAAATAAAGCCTGCTACATACTGTGACTACGATCTTAGCGCATTACTTCTATAATATCGTTTCAGTTATTAATATTTAAACAAAAATATTTTTTTTCTTTATTAATCAATCTCCTTCATAACTTCAAATATTTTTTTTCTAAAATGAGACTGGACAGAATAGTAAAAGTTTGGCATCACAGTGTGAACAAGCTTTATTCAATATTTATATACCGTTATAAAGTATAAAGCAATAATTGATTCAGTTAAAGTAAATGCTTTAATAATTGTTACATCTGCGAAATATGTAATTTATATATAACAATAATTGTATTGCCAGTTTTATTGTTGAAACATTTTGTATAACAAATGAACCTTGTACGAGTTGATACCGAATATATTATAATAATATATAGATATTTGTCGAAATATACTCGTATTTATGGATTCTAAGTGCCGAAAGCTGTGAATATATCTCTTGGTTAAATGATTTGCATTCGTTCATACTATCTGTATGTATGCGTGATTGGTAAAAACCATGTTTGATTATTATCAAATAAATGATTATAAGAATTAACATTATCAAAAAGTTAGTGGAATATTTGTTCGATGATTTTGGTTTTTGGAAAACTAAAGCACATAACGCTTAAAGCGTTTTTTTTATTGAACACATGTTATGTGAAATCCTTTAATTTACGAGCTTAAGTTATAATCGATTAGGTTATTAGTCGAGTATAATTTATGAGGTACATCCACAGCTCTCAGTGTACAAACAGCATAATACAACGCAAGTCGGATTAGACGCGATTACTGATGGGAAATTGAAAATTTCCATTTGCTTGAGATAAGTATTACGTCACTATGTCGTAACGTATGTAAAAGTGCACTTAAAAGGAATGAACCAAAAGATTATATAATTTTATAATAAAGTGTTAGAAGTTATTATTGTAGCGTCGGCGTTAAACAAATTTTGTAACACGTTACACGAATGCCGGCCGAAGATATTGGATTGTAATAAATATACCATTTTAACATTTTTTATTTGTTTTATTATCCACTTTCTGTTAGGACATAAATATAAAATATTTTATCTCTTATGAGAAACTGTTGTGGTAAGACACAAAGACGACCAAGCAAATCTAATCAACGCCATTATGGCAATTCAAAGTATATAAACTAAACATGAAAAGAATGTGGTATAAATCTACGTGGATCATCCCGATCTACGTGTTGGACCCCTTACTCTTTTTCCAGGCGAAAGATATTTTTAAAACCATAAAATATTAATAAACATGACCCAGGGGGTTGTCACCAAAAATTTGCTCTGGGCTATTTTTAATGAAAAATTTCTTTATTGATGTTTTTTAAAAAGTATAAGAAAAGATTAAAAAAAAGTTTTCCGTTTTTTTAATCTTGGGAAATGCATTTACGCATACCACCTGTAGACATACATTATCCCCCCGCTTCGCGTCCGGCTGAACTGTCGACAGTCTACCGCTAATGAGGACTCTCCACTACCACGACAAGGTGAACACTGAACGCACGCGCTGGGGTGGGGGTGGGTAGACCTCTTTTCCTGTGACAACTTAAAAAATACTATCAGGTTGGTGGCCTTTTTCGAGCGCATTGCCTGTCATCCAGATATAAACAGATAAATTACAGTAACTACTTAATTTAGGAATGTATTTTCCGGAATCAACTAAGTATCAAAATGTAGATAATTTTATATACCAAAACATCTTACGACTAAAGGGTTTTTAATTAAACAAAGCCTGGAGCAAATGTTTTATGGTTTAAAAAATATATTTTGCTTGGAAAAAGAGTGAGGGGTCCACCACATAGATCAGGATCTTAGACTAGTATTGCAGTAGCCAGTAATAAAAATAACTTCATATCCATTATCCCAAAAATGTGGTTGTTTTATTTTTTTATTGCATTGAACCAGCAATGTATGGAACTTTATTTAATAACACGCAACGGATATAGGGCAAACGTATTATTTTACTCACTTTTCTTGGCTATCCGTTTGAATTATAGCTTTAATAAATTATACAGGTTATTTGGCATAGTTCTATTTATATGACCCTAAAGCCTTTACTATGAAAAATGCGCCATTATCGTCAAGAACATTGGAGGAAGACTATAATGAGGAGTATTTTGTACATTTTTTTAAATCTCATCGAACTTGATATACGATAATGGATATAATAAGTAGATAACAATGTTCAATGATATAAATATAGTATTAGGTATCTATTGAAATATGTAATATCTATTATCAATTGATTTTTTGCACACAAAATGTAACTCTCATTCATTATCAAAAGAAGTATTGTAAATTATACCCTAGAGTAGAATTCCGTTATAATACATAAAGTTAGAAAATATTGAAAAGATTATAATATGTAATGTGCTTTAATTTTATTATTATTACCTTTAAAAACGGATCATTAGTTATGTCAATATTTCGAACAATAAATATAAATCTTTCATAATTTTTACACTAGCGAGTAGCAACACTGAGATCGTGAAAAAAATGGCAGACGTGACATTATTTATTCTGTGGTGTCAGACGTCAGTCGGAGATGTCGAGTTTGTGTTGTAAAAAATAATTAATTTGTCGACGTTTTTGTGCTACAATTATGTGAATAATGAGATGAAAGTGTAAATAAATATTAGATTAGTGTACGCTAGTGATTATGGCGCATAGTGGTGGTGTGTTGAGTTCGGATATATCTCGAAGGAACCCTCAAGATGAATATGAACTCGTGCAAAGGATCGGTTCGGGCACTTACGGAGATGTGTACAAGGTAGGGGACCTTTCTAAACTCTATTTTTTCTCATCATCAGAACGCTTGTAACCCATTATTTTGACCTGCGGGTGATTCACAGTGCCCATGAACAATTCATAACGGTTTTTGCTTCATCGCTTGCATACGATATTGGATACTTTGTCATTTTTGTCGCTGCATTTAATTTTAAATTAAATTGGCTTGCAGTCCTTTACAGTGGGCATATTTTTAATAAACAACACGCGATTGCTACGGCCTTGAATATAAAATGAGTTAATTTGAGTGGTTAGGTACACACCCATTAACATTAAATAGCCCAAAATTGCTTTGTCTAGATCAAGATTTTTAAACTTATTGTACTGGATTAATTACTTCTGGTTGTCCTTCATATACAAATACAAGACAGATAACCAAGACATTTATAATAATAATTTTTATGCAGACATCATTTTTTTTTGTTTTTACTGTAAAGGTTCAGTTTCTTTTTCTTAAACAGTTCATAATTACTTAAACATTTTTATATATTAATCTGCTTATTTATGTCATACATGTAATTTAAAAGAAAATATTTGTTCTTATGAATAACATACTATAAGTATAGCAGTATAGTACAAAAAGGAAGTCAGTATCACATTGTATTACATGTTGATATGAAATTAGGACATTATTATGTAACAATAAATAGAAATATGTGTAATATGTGAAATGAAATATAACTAAAAGTATTTCTTTGGAAATACAAGATATTGTATCAATAGTTTTGAAATTGTAGGCAATATAAAGTAGAATAATGAACAGTGTTATTAGAAACACACAATTATGCCAGGAATTGCTAAACAATGCAGTAGATAAAAAATCTTGAACTTAGAGACTTATATGATTGATGGCCTATTATATGATTTCTAAAATAATATATACTAGTATTTTTCTATGGCTCCACACTCAAGTCAATTATGTATCGCCAAATCTTTAAAAAATATAGCCTATGTGTAACTCGGATGTACAAGCTATATTTCAGTAGTTTTTGTGTAAATAAGTAAGAAACATCCCTCCACCCTCATAAATTTCTATTTTTAAATATTAGTTGCATGTTCAATTTCAAAACATTAAATTAAATCAATTACAAAAATAAAAATATATGAAGGAGTTATTTTTTAATTGTAAGGTTTTTAAATGAAACATTCTTGATGTAACAATTGATTACAGCAACATAAATGTAAAATTATGTAATATTGGAAATATTACATAATATTTGTAATATTATTCTATGTAATACTTACATTTAAAAAAAATTATAGGTATACTTCTCTTCCCTTCTCACTTAAGTTTTTTTGTTAACATGAATATCTATATTTTTTCAATGCTATATTATTCAATGATTTATGCGAATATTTGACATTTTAAATAAAATTATGGTCACATATTGGACATTTCAAATTAAAATAATTAAAAAGCATTATTTGTCATTCTCATTGATACCAAATATCCAAAAAATATAATAATAATAAAGAAACCAAATTGAAAAATGATTAATAATTATTTGGTGTCAATAAAAGTATTTTTGTCTTAATTATATGAGGCATTTAGAGATTGTAATACTTAGCACTCAGTTTTTTACTATCTCTTTAGGATGATATGAAAGGCATAGTGAGAAATACAAAGGAAATTATGACTAGCATCTATACAGTATTATAAAATCAATCACATGACCATCAAACTAATAGCAATGGAATGTTTCTAATAAAACCAAAGTCGCTCCACTTATGCCCATTAAACATATGCAATGTAATTTTCAAAGCAAGGACTCTTTACAACTTCCTCACAATATTGCAGTGTTACATAATATATAATAGGTACAGACAAATGTGTTTGTTGAATATCGTTAAAGAAGAGGTTAGTGGGGTTATATTCATTTTATAATAATTATAAAAATATTTTTTTTGTTTTTATTACAAATATGATCTAGATTTTAATAAAAAGTAAATGTATAAATCATATAAGTAAATGTATTAATAAATTATAATATTTCTTTTAAATCTAAGTTAACCAACTATATTTATTTTACTTATGAGTCAAGAAAGCATGGCTTAAGTTTAAATCAGTTGAGTCACATCAAAGATAGAAGAGTTCTGTATTTATTGTATTTCTATATATACGAGTATAATGGGAGTGTCACACTTAGTGTTTATGGACTAAATACATACATACAAGAGAAGTCTAAGAGAACCCGCGCACTAGGCAGCCAGGGTGGCCTGGCTGCGGCAGCCATTAAAATGCGTCTGTTTGCATGGCAGCCTATTGGCTACGCGCAGCTAGAGCGAGTGTGGGTTAATGTGGCTGCCGCCAGTCGCCGCGCACTTGTCCGTAGCAGCCAGACGTATAACAGTATGTAATAAATAAATAATATGAAAATAAACTGTATTTTTACCCGACTGCGCCAGAAGGAATGTAATGTTTTTGAGTGTATGTAATATGTATGTATATTTCTTTAGCACGCTCTGTAGCCTAAACAGCTTGATGGGTTTAGCTTGTGAGGTGTCATTAGATTTATCTTAATTATAAGAGTGACACTGGGTATATTAAATACCGATATTTGGCGTCATATTTGGTCTCCAAAAAATTTTTTTTTTCAAAAAAAATTAATAAAGGGTTTTATAAATGGCTTACAAAAACATATACAACCTTATAGTTAGATCCTCCACGTCCATATCGCTCAACCGAATGGTTTCAACCAGTCGCTGTCGCGTCGCCATGGCTGCCCAATTTTAAGCTTTAACTGGCTGCTCAATTTTTTAGCTGCCGCAGCCTGGCTGCCTAGTGCGTGGGCTCTCTAAGCCTGTAGTCCATATTACATTTTTTTTTCTGTCTGTTAGTTTATCATCCTTTTATGCTGAAGTATAAGTAGTAGTTACATACTTTTTACACAAAAATATAGCGTAGGTATAAGCTAAAATAATAGAGTCAAAAGCAAAAAATTCACACTAATATGGTTCAAGACTTTTAGTTGGCTACATTGAGTTTTATTGACATACCTATTCAAATAGTAAAATAAATTAAATATTTGGACACATAATATGGTGTTTGGTTGTAATTAAACAAATTTAAGTCCGCCAATCCGCACTTGGCCAGCGTGGTGGACAATGGTCTGATCCCTCTCGTATTGAAGGTAGGCTCACCCCCAGCAGTGGGACGTTAAAAAGGGCTGAATACAAACAAATTTTACTTGCTATGTAAAAGTAGATGGAAGTATCTGTTTGAGCTTTAAAAAAAAAATTCATATCTATGCTATGCTCATGTTAGTCACTCTCAATTTAAAGTGTAAAATATATTTATTGTTATTTTTAAGGTAAACCTGGTAATTTTAAGCATTGTTTGTGGTCAACACCGAGACTCCTATGCGTCATGTTTGAATCATCATAGTGTTCATCTCGTAACAGACACGAAAAATACTATAGAATTGGCATCTGTACGAGGCTTATTGTCTTATCGTTTTTATTATACAGCAGCAAACGAAAGCTCTTAATGCAGGTTTTGGAAGGAGAACCTCATTTCTTTTTACTTTATTTTGTTCTTTGATAACATATACTCCATAATAATAAAGTCCGTAAATATTTCAATTAGATGCTTACTACGGTTCAGAAATACGGCTCTTTATGTGTTCAGGGCAGAATATTATTATGCGGCGTAATGTTACTTAAATAAATAAATAAAAAAAATTATTGGGCACGTTTTAAAGATTACAATTTAAAAATTTATGTTCGTTTTTACATTAGTTATAGTTACATTTAAGTTATCGAAAATTCTTGAATCCTCTGATCATACAAGGTTATTGAATTCGAGCTGATTTTTGATTTAATAAAATGTATCGTAAACTTAGCAACCTCCATGTTAAAATTAAATTGGAGTAATAATTACATTCGTAACATATTTTTTTTATTGAATGCGCTGCAATTCGTATTTTAGAGTCGAGACGGAATTAAAGCAAACGAAAAAAGTAGTTGCTATTTTAAATAAAGCTATATTTTTGATTTTTATCGCGGATTTATTTGGATGTTTGGTTCCCGGCGTTTCGAATGCTTTACAGCGATCATGGTCACGGAAGAGACTGTCTCTATCCGAAAAGATAGTTTTATTTAAAACTAGCGAACCACCCTCGCTTGGCTTGGTTTCGTATATAACTTTGAATACATACATATTAATAAATATAAACACCCATGACTGCAGTACAAACAGTCGTGGTCATTATACAAATTAATGCCCCCAGCGGGACTCGAACCCGCGACCGCCGGCACAGCAAGTAGGGTCACTACAAACTGAGCTAAACGTGTCGTCAAATATAACCTCAGGTAGGTTTTTCAATTTATCTGATAGTATTTCTAAAAATATTTTTGTTCTATATTAATAAGTAAGTAACACTTCATATATCGTTAGCGAACGCTTTCTTGTCTGCCTCGATTGTATAAAAAAGGCGAATATAACTTGTATATAATATGTTTCATTACTTACTAGATACTTAATTATTTCTTCTTAATTTTAGTTCATATACTCCCTAATGAGGATACATGAAATGAATAAAGAAAACAGGAATGAGGTGCTTCATATATCACTAGGCACACCATTTTATTTCATTTTGTAGTTGGTATGTGGTGGCAAGCATATTTATATATTTTTTTTTACATATAAGCAATTATTTAAATATAGTATCTTTGTTATTTATTTATACTTAATGTCTATTATGTCATTGCTGTCCCTTCTATAATATTTGTAATTCTTTATTACCTGCATTTCTGCCTGCACATACTCGTATGTATATAGTACTAGCGACTCACCGTCGCTTCGCTCGGTTTCGTCCCTAGGTACGTTTTAACGGTTAGTATGGAATAAATAGACTATATATACATGGGTATGATGAGTTGTTGTGGGTTGTATTATAACGTATTTTCCCGTGGGAATGAGTTAATCTTCCGCGGTAAGAAGTCGCTAAGCCTATGTCGCTCTTCAGCCCTTCAACTATTTCC